TCTTTAATTAGAGTTCGTTAGCCTAAATCTAGATCACAGCTCTCGTATTTACATGTTCTTTCATAGTTCGTAGGAATGCGAATAATAAATGACGTATTACAATAGGTAGCAGTCAATGAGAAAAGGCCAGCATATAAGAGGGTTAAGAAAAGGTCGATAAAAGTTCTCTAAGCCTATTTTGGCATCGGAATACAATTCAAAAGTTGAAAAACACGAGTTTACTTAGTCTAACATTGTATAAGGTTTGAAGTCTCAATTAGTCATTTTTCAATACCTCTTTACACTAATAACTCTCCTTACAAACTGTTTTCTATCAACTGTAAAGAGTAATTATTGAGGAATTGCGTCTTTTTGTGGTGTTAAATCTTTTTGTCTAGGTCTGCCAACTTGCTAATCGGAATCCGTGAAAGAAAAAGGTGAAATGATTGGAAGTCTAGGTACACAGTCACTGCCTAGCACATATAACAGAAATAGTCTATTACTTATTGAAGATATTTGAAATTTTTCACGACAACTGAGAAAAATATACAGAAAACTAACGGACTGTAACAATGAAGTTTAATAGGTGGATGAATGGTTGCGACTTTAAAGGCCACTCTAACAACAACTAAATGACCAATTAGACTTTGCTATTCCATGAAAATCTGGTATGGCTTTAAAGGACACCCTAGCAACTGATGAAACAGCTAATTACATCCCTCTATTTAAGGAAAAGTACTTTCCCAGGCGAAAGACCGAAGCCTGATTGGTGTATTCAGCAGTTGCTAGAGTGGCCTATCAAGTCATTCGTATGATTGGAAGAAATAAATTAAGCTGGAAGCATCACCAAGTGAGTAATACTTCATTGATGTGAGTTCTGTCAGACAAACTAATCCAGTTTGGAATTATATTCTACCACACTGCCTAAATCTTACCCTCACGTAACATACGGATAATTTTTTACTTATTTCCTACTAAGCGGGTGAGCTCATGAACGTAATCAATTATGATCAACAAAATATCAGGTCTACTATGAAGAGTGAAAGTAGAAAATCCTATAGCTGAATAAAGTATTCATTGTTCAACTGAGTGGAGTGGATACTATGTAAACTATAAGACTGACGTTCAACAACAAATATGTCTCACCGCTACGCATAAGAGACATGATTTCTTCATGTCAAAGTGAACTTATCTATTCAACTACTCCTATGGAGTTAGCTATTCAGGACCAACTAGAAGAATCCTTTCACAACGCATAAAAGAACATCTCCCTGGTATGACTAGCACAGGGAAAGAAAAAGAAAATTATCAGGTCTATCTACTCCCAACTAATTGACACACTGTCGACGTAAGGTATTAAAGTCCACGTAATCCCTTGACTTGTGGATATTTCTTAGCGTGAAATATTTTGCTTAAAGATTGAAGAGCCTGATGAAACTTGAATGAAAATACACATTCACTTAAATTCTCGTTCTTTCAATTTACAGTTTTTGTTCATAACTTAAGGGACAATGGGTAAATGATAAAGTATATTTAGAGTTACTGCAAGTGTAGAAGAAAGAAAAGTTATAATTTACAATAGAATTGTAGCCTGTTTCCTTAAAACTGTCTTTACAACGAGATGAATTGTTGAGAGAATTATTAGAATTGTTAAAAACTCAATGTTTGAGTAATGCTGAGTCTCTAGGTTGGCGTCAATGTATGTGCCTACATTCCAAATTCGAATTTAGTTTATTCCATTTGTCTATCACCTCATGTGTGTGTGTGTGTGCGTGTGTGTGTGTGTAAGCTAACACTTTGAAAGCACAGAGTAACTGGTTTCTACCAGGCTTTTACAAGATGCTCCAAAGAAATACCTTCCATGGATTTCAAACTCACTTCACGGTGTGATAGTCCACCATTTTCTTGATTAGGAATATCAAAGACAAAGATGAAGAATACTAACCTGACAAAAGACTTTGTTTGAAAATTTATTCATATGCTCTTTATGAATTTACCATTCCATTCCTTGTCACTTCCTTCTTCCGAGGAGCAATAGAAGCAGCTTTCATGAGTTGGCGAAACATCAGTGATATAAGTGGTTCAACCATTACCGTTTTCAACTCCAACTCGCTCATGCACTGATCATATTGACTTCGATAATTTCCACACCATTATATAATCATATCAGAATCCTATTCTCTGCTTATCTAGTCTAAAACGCTTCTTACTTTAGGTTATAAGGTTATATAATTAACTTTAATTCTGGGTCGGTAGTGATGATGATGTCTACGGAGGATAATGAATGATGGCTGCTATATATCACATGCTAGCAAAAGTAGGAGAATGTAAACTATTGAATCCGGAGTCATAAGGTGAATAGTAATCTACTCACTACGAGACTTGACAGTCCCGAACTCGACCTGTTGGGTGTACACTGTTGAGGAGTTGCAAACTAGGCTGAAACAGATATCCACTCCTCTTGGTGTCGAATCAAAATGGACAAATCCTTACAAGCCTTCATGTAAATTGCTTATCCTTTTGGTTGTTCCTCATTTCTATGCCTCACTACTTAAGTGGTGAGTTGAACATATTAAAATCTTATATGCCAAATTTCTTTATTGTTGTGTTCTGCTGAGTGGCTGCAATTTTTCTAGGATGATATATACAGCTGAAGAGAATCTATATTATAAAATAACTTCAACCTATTCGGAAGATGGTATTTTGATTGTTGTGCTCAAATCTTTATCATCTGTATATGATCTAAAATAGATCAGTTCATGTAAATCTGGATGAAGTTAAATATTATGCATAAAAATTCAAAACCAGGTCATTTCAACTTTTGATGAAGTTTCATTGACTATGGTGTTCGACTTGAAACGTATAGAAAGAGGCTATTCAATCAATAATTTTGCTTCTATATGACTGTCTTGTACATACCAGTAAACCAGAAGACCATTTATTCACTAAACTTTATTAAAAATACTGAGAAGCTTCTAACAAGCTAACTGAATATTTATATGAATGAATAAACTAGTAGTTGCCAAATAAGCTAAAGGATAGATCTCAATGAATAATTCACATATCCAGTTTCAAAGAAACAGGACAAATGGTAAATGTACATTGAATTCATGAACAGTCTCAACCTATCATTAGCGCACAGTAATATCGCAGCGTGACCATAATACGAGATTCAGGAGTTAGCGACTTGTAACACTTTCGAATTGTTTTTTGCAGATAGTGTTCGAAGAATATCCTCACCACTATCTCTCATAGTTACTAAATTCCTTAATAGCTTGTATGTGGAAATTTCTGCTATCTAATTCACAAAGAAGTAGCGAAAATTAGAACTATACAAGCCGTGTCTCAAGGTTGTGAAGTTACCTGGAAATGAATATGGATGGTAAATTGTGTCCGAAATGTTATCCAGTAATTGTTACCGTTTCATTGTGTGATGCATTTCATAAATGAACTAAGAATAAGATTACACTCTATGACACTGGTCAAGTTTTACACTTATATTAGTATCACTCGATATCTTGCTTTTGTTTAGCACCTTTCTCAGTCAAACGTGATTTGTATCCACTTTCTGAAAGTATGGAATCCCAAAAACTTATTTAATAATCTGTGCTGTCTAGAGAATAAACAAGATTGAGTTTCTTAGTTAACGGAATCATAAAATGAATGTTCCCTACCAATTCATATAATATTGGTCTTCTGTGTATCAACATCTCTTCTCTTCCATGGGGTTTTTTTTGTGTCAATAGGGGATCAAAATATGAAGCTTTCAAGAATAGTTCTCTTTCGATTTTGAGCACTGATACTTGATAACATCTATACAAATGACCAAGGGTATTTTTTGTGCTTGACATTTCGTTACAAACAGCTGTCTTATCACCATATCTCGTCGACAAAGTTAGTTACTATTCTCTATATTGGTCCGGAAGACCTCAATTCCTCCTAATAGCAGATCACAGTCACCGTCTGGTAAGCATCCGAGTCAACAACAGTGAATCATCTCCCTATACACGGACGAATTTAAAGGCCACTCTAACAACTGCTGAAGTAACCAAATGCGGTTCGGTATTTTGTGAAAAAGGTAACTTCCTAGTCGAAATACAGAAACCAGATCGGTTACTTCAGTCGTTGCTAGGGTGACCTTTAAAGTCCTTTCTATACATTTTCAATTTCTGATCAACTTTATAGGCCACCCTAGTAATCGATGTAGCAGCCAATCACGTTCCTCTATTTTATGAAATATGGTCTTCCTTACCAAAATACCACAACCTGATTGGTAGTTTTGGCAGTTATTAGGGTGGCTTTTAAAGTGGCCCCAATTTCTTCACACAAAAATATAATAATCCGAACATTGACAAATGTTTTCATAGTTGAGGCGACGTTAAAGGCCACCCTAGCAACTGCTGAAGTGACCAATCAGGCTTCGATATTTCACCTAGGAAAGTACTTTTCCATAAAATAAAGGAATGTAATTGGCTATCTCATCAGTTTCTAGAGTGGCTTTAAAGTCACCCCCTGAAATAACAAATTAGGTTTCTTCATTCTGGCTAGAAATGTCGTTCTGAATGCAATGAAAAAACCTAATTGGTTTCTTCAACTGTTGCTAGGGTAGCCCTTAAAGTCACTCCTTAAAGTCACACCATAGTTGTGTCAAGAAGTGGACATTAACTCACTTTAAAAATAAAACGATACTCATACATACGTGCAGACAGATTATCAAGATGTTTTAGTTTGACTGGCCTTCGTGTTTTAACAATGTAAATTGTGTGAAACTGAATTCTATACTTCTCTCACTTCTTGTTTCTATGTTTTGAATGTACACATGCACAGAAGTGCAAACAAGCACGTCGAGTTTCAATAGTATTCGGTTTGATGATTAACGAATGACATTGTTTTTACTAGCGTGATATGTGTTTGCATGTAGGTAGATAAATAGATACATAATGTCATTTAGTCACTCATTGCTTCATTTCGGTGACTTTAATCATAATTGTAAAGGTGATCATATCAGTCAACTCCTTAGGATGCCAGGCTCAGTAATCCCGTTTTTATTGCTTATATGTTCAACCATACTTTCAATTCATACTGATGCGTATAATTTTAAATATATCTTCAAGTATTTTCATCGTCCAAAGTGTGGGTATCAGTCGTGTAATTTAGGGAAACCTGACCATCTTAATGTACATTTGATTCCGCATACACATGATGATGTTGGATGGTTAAAAACAGTGGATCAATATTATTATGGAGCAAATAATACAATTCAACGTGCTGGTGTTCAATACATCTTGGATAGTGTAATTCAAGCTCTGGTAGATGATCCAAATCGGAAATTTACATATGTAGAAATGGCTTTCTTTGTAAGGTGGTGGGCTGCACAAACATTGACAAAGCGTCAAATTGTAAAAGATTTAGTCCAGTCAGGTCGATTGCAATTTGTTCTCGGTGGATGGAGTATGGCAGATGAAGCTACAGTCTACTATTCAGATGCTATTGACCAATTAACACGGGGACGTGATGTATTAAAACAATTGTTTGGTGAATGCGGTCTTCCATTAGTTGCTTGGCAGATTGATCCATTTGGACATTCACGTGATCATTCTGATTTATTTCAGGAGGCTGGTTTCGATGCTGTCTACTTTCAGCGTATGGATTATCGTGAAAAGTTGGCTCGTAAACGATTTCAACAACTTGAAGTTTTATGGGATACTGGCGTAGAAATGAATGAAACAGGTTATGGCTTATTTACAGGCATGTTTCATGATTCTTATTGCTATCCAAAATCATTTTGTTTCGATGATAAATGTCTTGATGAACCGATAAGAGATGATCCTACTCTAGAAGGTTACAATGTACAGTCAAGGGTTGATGAATTTTTGAATTATATTTCTGCAATTTCGAAAGCATTTAAAACAAATCATGTTATGGTTTTAATGGGTTGTGATTTTACCTATGAAAATGCTAATATGAATTATAAAAATATGGACAAATTGATTATATATGTGAATCAACGTCAGAAATTAAGCGGAAGTCGGATAAATCTACTCTATTCAACACCAGCGTGTTATACAAAGGCAGTCAACGAAGATTTCAGTAAGATTGGTACAATTAGTCGACGTGGTGGGGACTTCTTCCCCTATGCTAGTGGCCCACATTCCTATTGGACTGGTTATTATACAAGTCGACCAGCATTGAAGTACTACGTTCGACAAGCCTCAAACTTATTGTCCATGTGTGAACAGGTAAGAAAGATAATCGCCTCTTCGTATTCAACTTAAAAATAATTTTAGATAAAGCATTATTTGTGATGATTTGTTATCAGTATATAATTTGCATCCGACAGGAACATAATTTCTTCCAAGCACTAACACTAGTATCGTTTGTACAGGCATTTAGTACCAGAAAATATTAGATAGTCCTTACATTCTCCTACTTTAGTCATCACCTTAGTGTTTATGTAAATTCTCATAGGCTTAACACCTTTCTAAGACTACTTTTCTGTAACACCTTGATTCTTGTCTGAAAAGCGAAGCTTAAAGATCAACATTCCGATTTGTCTTAGTTATTACCTTTTGGCAGAAGGTTGCGCATTCCCATTAGAATCTCATGTGATTTTGCTTAACTTTAAAGATGTGTAGGAGGTTTTGATAATGTATACTAATTTTGAGTATTTCGGTGTAAGTGCAGGAAGACTTGAATCAATGTCTCCTCACTGCTGACACTTATCGACAAGGCTTATCTGTAAGCCTCAGTGACTCAAATCTGTATGACTCACATTTATTGATGAATGCCGATACGCACGAAACAAGTCGAGCAGTGCTTCCGCCTGATTGAATCCCAATATCTAACACCCTGTGTCACATCACTTAGCTGATTGATGACATTCCCAAGTTTGATTGATACACTTCAGTCACTCAGTGCTGAACACCCTGAGGACTAGACTGTCACAGCTATTACCCACCGGTAACAAAACTATGTTCGGTCAGAATTGTCTAAAACAATTGGAATTAATCGGTGAATGATATACTGAAATGTTAAGTAATGTGACAAAGTGCCTCGTAAATGAACGCTATCGCATAAACCGTAGGAGTAAAAAAGAATCATTACCAGGTTTAAATAATGAAGAAATGCGGGAAGATGGGCTGTAAAGCTGATCATTAAGACTATAGTAACTTTAACTTACTCTTATCCATGGTTACTGCTTCAGCGATATGAAAAACAAAGATATGGTTGTCCTCTTTCTTACAGATTATGTCAACTTGTACTGTTGTGAAGTGAAATTTTGTACCGCGGCGGCATTCGAACCAGCGACCACTGGGTTTCCTACCTGGTGCTCTACCAACTGAGCTACGATGACCATCATCACTCAGTGTCAATACTAGTCTTCCAAACCACGCCTATCCTAGATAGTCAAAATGATCATATTATTGCAGCTTTATGTGACTGGTGTTGTGGTTAAGTTCATTGCAGGAATTTACATGATAGACCTACTTGCTCCTATTTGTAGGCAGAACTGGTAGTATTTTATGAAACTATTGAGGAAGAAAATATCCGCGAACAACATAGGTGGATTCGGGTTTTGTTAATGGGGTTAATGACCGCAAGCATATTTGTTTACCGTTTCACAGTTGACAGACAGAATAACTGATTTATTTAAGGTTAAACTTACCCCGACCGGCTAGTTTGACCTATGTAATTGATCTCGCAGTCATGACATACAATTTGATAGACTAGATTATTCTCCGTAATTGGTTCTGTTGGGTCCTTAAGCCGACAAAGATTATCCCTGAGTGAGTTTATAGGCTTAAATGCCACCCTAATTCCAGCTTTGTTAAGGATCCTACGTAAAGTTTCTGATGTACCTTCTTTAAAGGGTAGCATAATGAACGCTATAAACTCCTTTCTACTTGTGCTGTCGTTATTATTCATACTCGCGTTAATGTTACGAATAATAAAGACAAGTAGAAAGGAGTTCACAACCTCTATTGTGTTACCCTACAAGGAAGGCACATCAGACACTTTAAGTAGGATCCTCAACAAAGCTGGTATTAGAGTGGCATTTAAACCTATAAACTCACTGAGAGATTAGCTTTTCGGCTGGTTTAAGGATTCGAGAGAAGCATTAAGCAAAATAATTTAATCTATCAAATTCTATGTAATGATTGTGAGGTCAAATACCTAGGTCAAACTAACCGGTCGGGGTCAGTTAGTCAAATATAGATTGACAGACCAGAATAAGATCAACAATCTGAAAAAACTCGGCTGTTACAATGCATGCATGCATTAACATACAACCACACAATAGGGTAGGATAAAGCCAATGTACTTGAGTCCAATGTAGTTAGGTGGGAAGAGAGATTGATTACTGAATCTTTGTTCATAGAATCAACATACAACACATGTAATAGAAATGACGCAACACCTATACCGGATATATGGAAGAGTTTACTACCAACAGAAACAAACCATATGAGGTGACGTAACTATAGAAATTAAATATCGAAAGTAGTGTGATTACATTGATATGATTATGACCAATGATAATTTATCCTCGAAATGTCATCAAGTGTGTTATAAACCAAATAAACAAATCTAATATGTAATTAAAGCCTACAACAGTGCCCAAGTTTTACATCTATATTAACTATATATATATTTAATTTCTAACTTGACAGCACGAAATTGGTTAGTCTCTAGTGACTAGCCATTGTATTCAATCCAGTCCTTCAGGGAATCTATCCCAGCTCAAATACCTGCAGAATTGAGTAAAACGGGTTCAGATCCCATAAGAGACATCTATTCATTCGACATTGCAGATACGCCTTCCTGACGAGTCCTAACAAGCACGAAATGTAGGTCTGATTCCCTCCAACCAACTTAAACCAAATCAACCTGTTGAGAGAAGTGATTTGTTGGACATTTTGTTTTTCTTTTCAACTTCACAAACAATTTTCACTCCTCCTCCCCCACCACCCGCGTAACGCATACCTTTTTTGGTATAATTATCGAAAAATAAAAAGTAATTACAAAATCTTTTCTGCATATTGTGAAGTGGATCCACAGTTTAAATGCACATTGATGAACCTAGCAGGCACTAGACGGAATAGAAGCATTCAGTTTGTGACACGTTGCGCACTGACCTTTTACATCATATACATCAAAGGTCATTTGTTCTGATATGACAGTAATTCGTTATTCCAGCATTAAACAGGTATTTTACAGGTAGTGACGGGGAGTCACTTTCCGGTAAGTAACAATAAGTGGTAAATCAATCATTTGACAAGTATACAATATTGCCACTAAGTTAAGTTGACATCCGTAAGCGTTATATTTTATATTTTATGAAAGGTTGTCGTAATAAATAAGCTATACAGATGGCCAAGGCAAAGAAAGAGGCTGTACGGATCTCTTCTGAACACACAGACTTGGCTTTTTTAATTGGATTCCTATGGCTTCTGCTGTATGTAAAAGACGAACTCGTAGAGCATGGGTGAGGTGAGAAGGAATGTGATAAATAACTTTAAAGGCATTATGAATGTTAACTCGGTGGCCGGTGTCCATCAAATGCGAGAGTACTGAGCTTCGTATTGATCTGCTTTGCCTCTTACTTAGCCATGAAGGGTGATGCTCGGCGATTCGACGACGGACTTGCCTAACTGTAAGTCAAATTTAACTAGCTCCACAGGAGCAGTTGAACTGGTAAATGCACATAGAAGAGGAGAAGTCAGGTAGTCTGTCTTTAGTTCGTGTGGTCATCATCGGCCAACTGTAGAATACACAGCACAACTTTGCAGCATTAAATGATCTTCTTATGGCATTTCTTAAGCGTTGTGTCGCAATTTTGCTGATGATGTCACCTCGAAATTGTAGTCTTAGGAACAATGGTTTCCTGGAGACTGCAGATATTCTGGTTTTCATATTGGATGTGTCTAAATTTTTGAGATTGTTAACCTTTCATCAAACAACCCTCATCACTAGACTGGTATGTAATTTTACGTTTTGAAAATGCTATATTAGTGTAGAGCCATTGATGAGGAACTATTTGTTGGTTGAAAGTTAACAATAGGCTGCCATGTACATGAGTTTCGTCCTTACTATGACCAATGAATAAACTAATGCAAAAGTTGTTGCTTCACAAACTTAAAAGTGAGTCAAGTGAAAAACTTCAGTCGGAGATAATACTACACAACTGCTGAGGTCTTAGTATGTCGCCTTCTGCCTCTAGCCAGTCAAAGTTAAGGTGAATAATCTCAAGAAATATCAAACCAAGTGTTGATAAGTTCATGTTATTAACTCTTGTTGTATGTTGATACGACTTAAAGAAGTGTCATGCTTGAAGTATGTAAAAAATATTCGTTGTCTTTGGCCTACAAATAAACATATACATAATCTCTTCACAGATTGGAACAGAATTACATTTTAAGACTATTTCCTCCATTAAACATGTCTATCGTGCGTTATTTTCGCTATTCATTTCCATTTCTATAGGTAGCCATAAGTTTTACTGAAATAATTTTTATAATTTAGGTTCACCTACATGTTGATCGTTTATCGGAAGGCAGAGATTATCAAAAACAAATCACTACAGATGAACTGATTGATGCTTTAAGACAGACACTCGGAGTCCTACAACATCATGATGCTGTAGCCGGTACTGAGAAACAACATGTGGCTGATGATTACGCTTGGAGAATATCAAGAGCTTCAAAATTTTGCCAGCTATTGATCAGTCAATCATTGATTAAACTACTACCAACATTGAAACCATTTATCCAGAAAAACAATATTATCTTCTGTGACTTATTGAACATTAGCTTATGCAATGCAACCGAAGGCTTGAAACCGCATATAATTAAATCTAACCATGGCGGTGTATTGATTCTGTTGTACAACCCTTTAGGTTGGATACAAGAGTCGACATGGCTGCGTTTACCGATATATATTCCGGAGGATCATACTGATAACTTTCAGGTTATACTGAAAGATCTACGTCTTTTACCACGGTCACACTCTGATACTGGTGATTTACAATACCAGTTGGTACCAATTACTGAACGTACGCTTAGTATACCTGAAAGAAATAGTGAGGAGCATTTAGCGAATTATGAGATCATTTTCAATGCTAAATCATTATCACCTGTAGGATTTAGTCTATTCTATCTGGCCATCAATCAGTCAAGTAATTATAATCGTGAATATGTCGGTAAGATTTACCGCCAACTAACATCCAACTACTATCAACAACCAACACAATTATTGTCATCGATGATATCTGCTCCTAGAGAAACACCACAACCAATATCTAGAACCACACAGTTCGATATCCGGTTAGATGAAAATACTTACAGTCAAATTCATAATCCATTAATCATAACTATGACACACTTGAAAACTGGCAAAAAAATGAATTTATCTATTGACTTATTGTATTATTATGGAGAAAATTCACATCCACAACCGTCTGGAGCGTATATATTCCTACCGAAATATGGTACTTTTATACAAGCATTTCATACACCGACAGTGAATGTGAGTTTAAGACTTCATTGTTATTTTGTTAACTTTATACTATGAAAGAAGAACAAGTATATTTCAGTGAAGAGGTCTCTTTTCAGCAATGTCATTTTCAAAGCTGTACAATCGTAAATTTATACATTTTTCTAGTGTAAGAATTTGATAGTTAAAGGCAGTTTATCAAGCATGGCAACAAAAACAGTGTCAACAAATGAGCTGTCATTAAAATGAAAACACTAAAAACTGATGACTAGTGAATATTAATCAAAATAAGTTTGGAAAAGAAGCTTCGTAACATGAAGACATAATTTTAAACTGAGTTAGGATCAGGCAGAGACATAGCAACAAGAATGAGTAACAAACTACTCAAGAAGTGAATAGTGTCAAAACAGAAAGATGAAAAAGAAAGGGAAGGAGGTGAAGGAGAAGGGGTTGAACAATATTCTTTTGCGTGCATAGTTCACGTTTCTCTATGTGGATGGCAAGAGCTTCGACAATGTAGAGAATACTAAGACATACAGCCTTTCGAAGATTTTTTCTACTTTATAGATGACTTTGGACGAGGATGTTCTTGAGATAGCGTGATTCGTGTTCACGATGTGTTAAACTATAGAGCTCCTTATCGCCCTCCTGGTTATCTCTTTGTAACCACACGGGATAGTGTTCTTGAACTCTTTTGGATAACGGTCGCATCGAACGACCTATACACCTAGCTCCACAAGAGTAGATGAATTCATGTATGCACCTATAAGTGGTTAGATGTGAAAGTTTTTCCTTTGAGTTGTTAGAAATCGATGAATGACAAGAGAATACTAGTCTTGGCGTTGATGCAAAGAATGTTCTAGTTAGAGTGTTCGGTATCCTCCTTTTTGGAGTGTTAGCAGAAGGATCACCTTTGAAGTTTAGATGGAGTGTTTTTTTTGGCACGGTGGTAGGATTCTCTTTGTGAAGTTTTGGCTTGATATTTTTGTCTATGAAGGCTGGTGGGAATCTGTTTTCAATCACGATGTTCTTTAGAAAAGATATCTCCTCTTCTAACACATCGGGACTACAGATTTGTCTGATGCTATTGAAATTCGTCAGTTGATCATTCCACGTTGGTTTCCTGTGAATTGATCTACCTAACGTTCCATAAGATGTTCTTGTCAGTTCTGCATCACAAAAGTAAATTTTTAATGGATTTTCGACCTCAAGGGTGAATCTAATTGCTGAATGGCAGTTACTGAATATTTGTAGGACATAATTCAAATGACACTGATGATCACAGATAATAAAAGTATTGTCCATGTACCTTTTGTACAGCTGAAAACCCTCAGTCTTTGATTTCAGGGGTTCGTTTTCCAGACCGATCATTAAGTAGCCTGGTACTAGTGAACCTAGTGAAAATCCCATAACGATTCCATCTTTCTGTCTATAAGTCACGTCTTTAAATGTGAACTGAACGTTAAATTTGTATCTAGGTGGTAGTTCATTAAGGTGGGGAGTTGGTATCCCATCATTTATGGTGTTATCTTCTATGTATCTCATTCTTATGCAGTGAATATGAGTCTGGAAGACTTCATTGTTATTTTGTTAATTTTATGGTCCACTCAGTGTTATGCAGTTTGTTTCCCATAGGCATGTCAAAATGAAAATGAAACGTTTAAATACTAAAACCTTAACAATAGTTTGGCTCTTCTAAAGTCAGGAAATGAAAATAGATTCTGTATTCATCTTCGCGACTAGTAGTAGAATCCATGACGCGCGTTTCGTCCTATTTTGGACTCGTCAACCAGATGTACTTGTTTCACAAGAAGTGGCTTTCGTGCCCCAGTGGCCTGGTACATAACTCTGTGGTGTTTGAAGCGACTGGTCCTGAGTTCGAGTCTCAGTGGGAACAACGTCACTCACTGGGGTGCTGGTAGATCTGCTTGATGAGTCCGAAATAGGACAAACGCACCTCACAAATTCCGCCAGTAGTCACCAAGATGAATATAACATCATCAGTATCCGGTAGTGTATTAAGGCATTCTTATAGATGCCCACCTGGAAACACAGATCGACCGATTCGACCCTGTATATCAGCGGAGACTTACAAGTGTCAAACAACGAAAAATAGATGCGTTAGTTGACACATAAACGGCTACAGTATAGGAACTGATTTCATGTTAACCAGGTAATTGCTGATATGAGCCTGATGACCATGTATTGACCTGTTCTAAACTAACGAGTCCAAAAGTGCCTATTGAAACAGTACAGTAATTCCATATTTCTTACAAGGTGTGATGAAAAAAATACATAGAGTCATATGAAAGTGCAGAATTACGGTGTATTACAAATCATACAGTTTTGCTAGAGATGCTTACCCCTTCATGTAAAAAAAGATTGTTAATCAGCTCTATACAGAAGTATTTATTTACACAAATTCCTCTTAACATTAGCAAATCATCTTGGAGAATATTTTTAATTCTCATAAAAGAACATGTAAGCTGAAGGAGGAAGCCTCCGAATAATCTTATGCAGTTAGAGAAGCTATAAGTGCTATCTGCGATTGCAGTTTTTATCCCCTTTGCCGACAACAAGACTGATATTGAAAATAAAAAAAACTGTTCTTAACGAGGTTCCTTGCTGTAAAATGCAAGACCTAATCATTCAACTAGCCTTGATGATGTAAATTCGGATTAAACGATTCAGTACATTAATCATTCCTATAAACTCATTATTTGTATGAGTATATGGATGGTTTTTATTTTTTTATTTTAATCTATACTTCTTACCTTTCACACATTTTTGATAAGTCGTACACATTTTATTCTCTGAAGAAGCAACTTTCATGAAGTTGCAAAATGTTAGAAACATTTCAAAAATAAAACTGTATCTACTGAGAAGTTACTAACTGAAGCTTGGTTTTAAAGTGGTTTTCCTAGTTGACTTCAGTTGATAAATAAATTTTATTTCTCTATTTTCTCACAGCTTTTGAATGAGGAAAGGAGAAAAGGTACTTTATGAAGAATATCATCACACCTTACTCACGATTCTTACAAGTACAAGATTATAGATAAAAGGTTTCCTACTCCTTCCATCGCTATCCCCGAGCATACACAGGGAAAAAAATCTCTTCATCATCTTTATTGCTATAGCACTCACAGTATTGCTTACAGTAGTAAAAACTCCTCTCTCCAGCTTAAATACACTATCATTAGAAACTCAGTTGAATTTTATTCTAACCTGTGAAACTGAACTTAATAACCAGTCATATGAAGTGAAGTTCACAGAACCATGTACACAGTTGCATTCCATCCTGCTTATTATCTTCAGTTTGGCTTACTATTATTGGTTTGTATTCCAAAAAATAAACGGTTGGCTGGTTTTATCGAAGCAAGGCGCTGTAATCCATTTGAGTTTATTCGAAATGCTCTGGATTTTTAGCCCCAGTTTCAATTGATTTCAGAACATGTATCTTCTGCGATACTTCTTCTTCTCAACATGTTTCAACAATTAAACTTGGGTGATATAGTAGCGTATAATACCACAATATATTAGTTTATTTATCACAGCACACAGTGATAAATTACACTGTATTACGTTATACCATATAGAATAAATTAATTGGACGTGTAATTCAAGGTCACACTCTCGCTATGGATCGATGGTGGCTGCGAAACCACTTCACACTTAGAAGTACTGTACGGGTGCTTCTTCGTAGTTTGGGACGCTTCAGCAGCATGCATCCGCAACCCCATAGTGGACCAAGTCCGGAACCGTTAAGTATCGTGGTTATTGCCTTATAACTCAATAGATTGAAGTTAAATAATTTACGTCTTCCGGATGTTGTTAATTCCCTACCTTGAGTGACCCCACAGGTCAAATACTTCTCATCAGAACTTTGAAAATTAAGTTTACATGGGGTTTCGTGGAGATTTAATGAACGAATAGGCCTTCAAATGGTGTTAGTCAGTGACAAAAACTAGCTTGATATCAAAGGGTCCCCATGAATCCTAATCTACTATCAAATTGTCTTCAATATATTCCTTCAATAAGCAACTAGCTGTTCATGATAGTGACTGACGAAAAAGGTTTTGCTTAATCTTCAAAAGTGAATTTCACGTGAATTTCGCCTAGGTCGATCAGACAATCACTGACCTACAGATTATCACTCCTACTTAACTGCAAAATCTTATTCAGTGTAACATTTTCATTTCGTTTCAAACTGTGTATAGGATAGACTTAACGTTTTTGCGCTTCATAAGTGTAATTGTTTAGTAAGGAGTAATCTTCCTAATTCAAGTCAATTATAACTGAACAGGTAGATTGAATGAGGTGTTAGTAACTGAATGTATGTAGTATTCAGGAGATTTACCAGTGAAGGAATTGTTTTACTTCACAGACTAACAACCGATAAACTGTCAGAGAACAAGGAACCTTATCTCATGTTTCATTATTGAATGTAATTTTCAAGCTTCTTCGAGATGGTGACGTATTAACAATGCTTATTAAATGTTACTACTCGTTTGTTTTTTATGTGTGCTTTTTTTTCAAGGTAGTAGATGGACCATGTGTAAGGGAATTCCACCTACAGTATGCATCATGGGCATCTCTAGTTGTACGTTTGTATAATAATGGTGAATTAGAAGTTGAATGGACTGCTGGTCCAATACCAGATGACGGTTTTATACACAGTCGGGAATTAGTGATACGCTATACAGTGAATAATGGTCATGCACTGGTAAACGAATCAGGTAAATCCGAGTGGATTATGAATCTCATAACAGATTATTAGCTTAATGTTATATTTCGTATTAAATTGAGGTTAAACTTTAAATAGTCTTTGATGTTATAATCTTTGCATCTTCATCGCTGACTGAACCGAACTGATCGGCCACTACTGTGTGGAAGCTTCGATTTGCGGGTATGTTAAAATCTGATATTAATGATGGGCAGTATCTAGCAGTGGAGTTTAGGACGTACTTTTTCTCCTATTTGAGACTCATCAGTTGGATGTACCTACCTCCGAGTGGGTGACTTTGTTCCCACTAAGACGTTCCTATTCAGGACCAATTGCTTCAAACGCCACTGCCTGTACGATGGGTATAATGTGGTCATTAATATTATGGTATCAGAAGTAAACTTTTAATACTCTGTTCAGTTGTAGATCTTTCGAGTTTGTTGTTGTACAACAACTTTGAAAAATGATGGTTACGAAGAGTATAACACCAGTCTTTATTCATCCAATCATGAAAACGAGGCTTACCGGTTATGATTCACGAGTCAGTACATTTCAGTAAATTAATTCAGTTAGCCCGAATTAGCCAACAAAAACACTAAGGAAAAGTTTCATCCGGTGAGTGCCGTTGATTAAAACAAATTTCCTTTTAAATGGATTACTGGACAAAAGGAGCAGTTAGAAACCTCGTAATTTGATCTTCCTACCTCACTAGCCAGATGGGAGTCATTCAACTGCCTTAAAACTGTGCTATTCGTCTCTATCATCTGTGTACTCTGATAAATTCAACACAAACATTAGGACTGATAAAGTTAATAGATTGATGTACTACAAATTGGATAAAAGTTTGCAAATTATTTACAAATCACGTGGATCATGATGACATCACTCGTAATTGAGAAACTCACTAAAGTTCCCTCAGATTTGTATGGCAAACGAAACTTCACTGTGCATACTAAAAGTTTCACTGGGGAAAACAAAACAAAATTTTGAAACAGAGCCATCAGGGCTTTGATGATTTAACCACCTTGCACTCAGAGGTGTTAATCAGTTCGCTTCTTAAAAGTTCCCTCGTTTATTTTGATTCAGTGCTATCTATTTTTCAAGATCCACCAAGTGGTCTTCATTCACATTTCGGAATTCTGGCTTAAGCTTATGAACTTATTCGTTATTCCTCTCTACAGAATATCTTGCAATCTTCAAATGAACCTTTAAATTATGTTTCCATAACTAGCTAGTGTTTTTCATCATTTAGTTTTCAGTAATATAACTGAATATCAGTTTCAAAAAGTACTTTCTTTCATCACTAACTTTGTCATACTTTCTTGGATTGAGAACTCGTGAATTTGAGTACAAATTTCTCCTCTTGGAGGAAATTCGAATTTGAGCTCAGTAAGGCAGACACATGTTTTTTTAATGCTACGAAATCCTTATTTGATGAAATCATGAAGACTTTTGTCAAATTCTTACGTTTTAGGTGATCCAAGTGAAAGTAAGCGGCAAAGAATTAATCGTAGAGGATAAGTGATTATGAGGCTTTGTACATTATTGATGTCGGCTTGCTCTTGATATGGCTACGTCATCTTTTGCGCTTCTCTAAGCAGAACATTTACCCGTCGTTCGTAATTGCCTATGACTTCTTTCGATCTCCCAACATATATGATATGCATTCTTATCAACAGCACCCACTACACAGGTACTGAAAAAGCATTTGATTTCGTTTCTTTATGGGAGTTCCTGTGATTCTATTGACCTCCATGTCATAGAGGTCGGTTCCAGTTAGCTTCGGTTCACATTAAATCACAGATTTACAGAAAGCTTACATACACAAGACAATGTTGGAAATTTCACGGTTTTTGAGATAACCAGTTGGTTTTAAGAATTCAGATACATAGAAGATATAGGTGACTTGAAAAATTTGATGATCTGTACACTAGATACTAATGATGAAAATGTCAGGTATTAGATACACGAGTAAAATTTGGGCAATGTGTTAGAATGTAACTACATTCCAGCTAATTTATTAGATGTGACACACAGTGGAACAGTGCTGTCTACTGTTATTTGCGTTTCGCACATAATTTATTGTCTATAATCATATAAAGATAACTCCACAATTTTGAGAAATGGTTTTATATAGTCCTTTAAATAGTGTGATTAGAAGATGAAGTTCATCTGAACAATGTGATGTATTTGCGCAATACATTTCAAACAATCTAATCACACATTTACTTGTCAAGTCAAATCACATAAAACCGAGGTTGGGTGGGGGATAGGATAAATACAACAACTGAGATTATAGGGATTAAGATTAAGAAAGATGAGAACAACAGGAAGACTG